ACTCTTTTACCAACGAATAGTGGGATTGAGCGTCACATTATAACTCCCCCATGGCTGAAAGGGCGAGCATGTTTGGTGGGACGGGGATTCGTATCCGCAACCCGCAGATTGCGAGTTGAGCTACCTAACCACCCGGCCATGCCGGCCGATATTTTAAGGAACAGAGAACAACTAGGAATATACTAGCTTTTATGTAATTCCTTTTCATCTAAAATATAAACATTTTATTATAAATTTTATAGGGTGTAACAACAATACTTGAGTTATATAAATTAAATAAGAACAAGAATTTAATAACATATTTTAATTCCTTAGTTCAAGTTCAATTTTTATTATATTACTTAAGATAGTGCATTGTTTTACTATTGTTTTAAAATTAATTTCAAAATTTGTCTTTTAATACTAATACTTCATGCACTACCTTATAGATATTCCTTAAAGAGAAGCACACCCTGGTCAATAAAGTATACAAATATTGAAATACCATTTTCGAAGTATAAATTTGTTGAAACACGTTTTGCTCGTCATACTTGTACGTTGGCGGGTGATCTAAATGGTGCTGAATTTTTTCTCCAGCGATCCGTTAATATTGGTACGTTTCCTGTTTCAAGTGTTTGTAAGTTCTAAACTTAATTAATAATTAATAACTAGTTTATTGTAAGCATCGTTATTAATACAGTTTCGTTTCAATGTGAAGTAAACTTAGAATTAGAACAAAAAATCTTAGATACTTCGTATTTAATTTTAAGAGTGGAATTTAATTAGTACAGCTTGTAAGTTCAAGTTGAACCTAAAACTTCGAAGTCCACCACAATTTGTTAATTTTTAAATTTAATCGTGATCTAAGGTTACCAGAGTTACTGTCATACGATCACTCGTATGAGCCGTGCTAAGTTAAACTAAAACTAAACGTTAAAGTTGTAATTAATATGGTGTTCTATGTGGTTGATTTTACATAGAATTGATTGATACTATGATACTGATAGTTCGTTACTGGTTTGGTTTGTAATATCGCGCAAAGCCAGCTACGTGAGTGCTATCTGCTCCAGCTGGCCCTAATTTAGCAGAGACAGACTGGAACTTAGAAGTAGAGGGAAGGCAGCTAGTAAACACCACCCACCACCAACTCTTGGGCTACTCTTTTTACTAACGAATCGCAGTATTGACTGTAACGTTATAACGTCCCCATGGCTGATAGGGTGAGCATATTTGGTGGGATAGGGATTCGAACCTGCCACCCGTAGATTGTGAGATGAGCACCCTAACCATCAGGAGTCAGTTACTGTGATGAGTTAATATTATTGTTGTTTAGTCTTACTCTTAGACTGTTGTCACTGTTGTGGCTATGTAACTTACTAAACTAACTTAAATTGCAATTGCAATTGATAATTATTACATCAATTAACTGGGCTCAAGGGCCATAGCACTTAGCAGGAAAAACTTTGACTCATGTTTGAGTTAGAGTTAGGCTGAAGTTATAATGAGTGTTTCACACTTTTTTTTAGAAATATAGTATAATTTTATGTTAGTGAGGAACCATAATTTACAGTTTTTCTGTCTTATTCTTAATTACGCTTAGTGGCAATAGAAATAGCCACAACACATGATTTCCAAACTTTTAAATTTTGTACTTCACCTTATAAACCAGTTTTTATGATAAAGCATTAGGCTAGAGTTCACTTTTTAAGCAAGAAAAAAAAGAATACAAGAAAAGACTAGGTGGCAGAAGACCATTTGTTCAATCAAGGTCACTCAGCAAAGAAACCAACCTAACTTAAGTCTTATTATTTTCACCACACATATTATTTGTCTTTTATCATTTCATTTATATTCATTTTTCAACCTAAATACAGCTTCTCCCATCCATAAAACTTAATTTTAAGACTTCATACTGCCAACATGTCACATCATCTGATAAACAATTCAACAAGTTTAATAACTAAAACAAACAATGAAACGTTTTTAACCTAATAACCAGGCTGGATCTGGACTTTCGTAGTTATACGTATTTCTTTTCGAAGTAGGGAATGAAATTCTCAATAACATTTCACTAGTCCAACAAACCTTATGTGCAGTTTATTAAAGCCACTAATGATTATAAACACATCAAGTCATCTAATTATTATACACTCCAGAAAAAATTAACAAATCTTTGAGTTTTTCACAGGTTAAACATTTCAAATCCGGAATCATTTTGAATAGTTCAATATAGGGCAGGTGATTAGTGGAACTTGCAAATTCATTGTTCAGTTACATTCAACTGTTTGATTATTCACGCACAAGACTTGAATACTTGAAATAAATGAATAGAGGAATAAATGGAAACACTAATTTTGATTAGTTTATTATTCTTATGGTGACAATTGATTTAATCATAACATTAATTAATCATTTATTTTATACGATACTACTTGATTGATCTAATCTATACTCTCAAGTTCCAGTAATAACTAAGCTCTAGTTTTGAAAGCAGATATAGTAGTAAAGGTAAAATAATTTTAGAGTGTTTTTATAGATATAGTGATCACAAGTATAAACAGGTAATTATCTTTCAAAATAAGTTACTACTTAAGCAACACTTTCAGTATTGTATGTAGTTTTGGTATGTGAGAAAGGATATTGGCTTGGAAAGAGTCCAGATTATTTAGAGGATTAATAAGGATGAAGGCTTCTGATTTTATTATAGTATATTCTAAATACAAGAGGACAAATTTAATATTTAAAGAAAAGACAGTCTAGGCTTCAATTAAGATAGTTTTATATTTCTGACAGAATGATCTTTTTATTTCTTTTTACATAAGCTTAAAAACTAAATCTGTGTTTATGTAGTAAACTAAGTTTTTCAAGGTTTCTCTTAACCTCAACTATCTTATTCTTAATCTGTTTTTGCTCATTTTAGTATTCTATTACATTTTTGTTTACCAGTGATTTTCACACTCTTAAACTTCATTTATCATTTGTTAATAGTTTAATGTTTCTAAAGTGAAACATTCAGTAAAGATTCAAATATAAGTTTTCTATTAGGCTACATTGGGAAGATGTTTTTTTTTTCAAACAAAAACAAGTGTGGATGGACTATTTTAAGTTATAATCTCAAAGTGTTTGTTATGTCTTTGATAATCAGTGTTAACATATATAATTGATATACGTGTGAAAGATCCTAGACATGATTTTTATGCTTAGTTTAAGCCTATGGTATTCTGGATTAACACTGAAATCAGTGGGTAAGTATTAAGCCAATAAAAAAGATGTTCAATGATTTTATAAACAGAGGCATCACTTATTTCAATTTAAAACAAAGAAACAAAATGTAAAAAAGATACCATATGATGTTATTAAAGTCTGGTATAAATGGCTGGCATCTTTGTATATAAAGCAACTCACAAATACAACTGTACCTTAATGTCACTTGGGTAGATCTGTCAAAGAAAGGAGATATTGGTGTTTCTGACTTCATACTTTTCTGATCTATATATTTAACTTCAAACTCTGCTTGGAATTCTCAGAAAGCCATGTCACTGGTACAGGAGATCACTTTCATTATTTGAAATAAGGTGAACCAGGGTATTGAAAATAACTAGTTATGGTTACTTCCAGTGAGCTAAACATAGTGGGAAAGAAAGTACTTAGACTTACTTGCTGTACAGTCACACATGTTGTCAGAAATGTATTTTGTAGTAGTATATATAGTAATGTAAATATCTAGGTGTGTTGGGCAAAGGATTTTTCTACAGTAGATGTCTGTGACTTGTTAGTGATAAATTCAATAATAAACAGCATACACTCCACTTGTTAATAGTTATTAGAAACACGTTGAACATATATACAAAATTCTTTACACTAGTTGTATCTTAAACACTATACAGTTCTCTTCTTCTTGTCAAAAGTCCACTTCAGCCAATTCATTTGTTTTAGAATTCAGTTGACAAGCCAAACTATTTTTCTCTATTTTTATTGCATTAGTATCTGTATATAATTCACTTGCACTGTTGTGTGAGTTACTGCAGTTGTATCCTGTACTTCCAATAATCTTCTGTTTTTTCATGCTTCCAAATAATCCTCTGCTTTTAATTAAATTCCACACAGGTGGGTTCAGTTATCTTAGAACACTCTTTGACAAAACAAGTTATTCTCCTTATCTCTTTCAAACTATTAATCTCATTCTAACATATCAACTATTAGGCCTTTCACTCCCACAACAGTTAACTTTGCATTTTCTAACTTTTCTCTTTCCCGTAACTTTAATTTGTACTCTCTCTCTTGCTGCTTGTCTGGTCACAACTATTTATACATCTATCACTTAGGCCTTTTAGAAATTTCTATATCCTCAACATCAGTGGATTGCAAACACAATGTTTGATAGTCTCAACATCAATGAATTACAAACACAAAATAAACTAGTTAATAATACTACCTACATAAAGTCTTTTTATATCTGACAATACGTACTTGTGACCACTTGAAGACAAGATTTAGAGCAATTTACAATTGGGCACCTTTTATTTATAGGGAATGTCAAAATATAGACAACCTGTAAAAAATTTTAAAAGTTATCTAAATAAAGGTATATTAATTTTCTAAGCTATAAAGGGATTACAACTATAGTATTCTTATGTTATAATTCCATTTTGTGTTTGGACCATTTGAATAATTTCTTTCTGTTTATCTAGCCAAACAAAATATAACCACATGCAATACTAACGTAAATATCAGCTGTTTATTACATTATATTCAAACTGCTCTTCATCCTCTTCTATATTATTATTATCATTATTATAAGCTAAAATGCTCTATTACTTCTTTTTTATCAATAAGACTTGGTATTAACGTTTTAACTTTTAGCATTAGCTTCTTTGTTATTCCATGTAATTTCTTAATGGGTAATGTTGCACCTATTACTTGCATGATGATTGAATTTAAAGCTGCTTGAAGCATTGTAAGTTCTGTTTTATAAGTTACTGGGGAGCATAACCTTTTGTCTTGTAAGATATTTATATTGGAGGTGAGAAAATCTTAAGTATTTAATAATTGTGTTAATGCTGCTTATGAAAATGCAATATTGAGTCAGCAATGTAATTGCACATTTAACTTGTTCTAGCGTAGTACATAGATGACAGTTAACTGAGATATAGGAATTTCCTGTTGTATTTTTAATTGCTTTTAGAAGGTACCAATAATGAAAAGAAAGCTATACTGTTTTGAAGAATTCTAACAGTAGTAGTTCCGTAGTTCATTCTAATGCAAGTGATATACAACATTGGTAGTTTTTCTGAAATTTGATGGGGAAGGGTGTCCAGACCTCCCTCTCCCCAATGACCTTTCTCATGTCATCCTGTATCATTGTGTCAAGTTGGTGTTAATTGATTAAGAAATGTTGACCGTATATGAAACGCACACACACATTAACATTTATTTATATAGATTAAACTTTTTTTTTGTAAACTTTGAAATTCATTGTTAGTTAGTATAGGTGTTTGTGTTATACTGCCAGTTTGGTAATCTTCTGTATTCTCTAATTTATCCTAAAGTTTGTTTCTCTTATTTTAGGTCTAAGGATCATGCTTGATCTAGCAGGATTACTTCACAAATGGGCAGTGGAAGAAATGGGTTTTCGACTGATGGGGCAACATGCTGGGGGTAGAATGCCCGATCCAAGTGATCTTCAAGAGTATGTGTCACAAATTCTTATATTTGTGTGAAGTTTTATACCAACTTTGCAGAAAATATTTTACATGTAGTAGCCACCAAAAACAACTTGATAATAAAATCTTAACTTTTTATTTTACAAAATTTGTTTTTCTCAGGATGAATTTCAGTGAACATAAATTCAAATAGTACTTGAAAACTGGTTTATTAAAATCTTATACAATTCAGAGTCTGTAAAAGACATTTTAAAGTTAGTAAAGATAAAATGATGCATAAAAAACCTTTAGTTGAAACCACAATAAAAAAAAAAGTTTGTGTTTTCTTCTCTTCTGCAATAATGCTCATATTTTCTATTTTCTATCTAAAGTGACACACTACTCATATGTAGCCCTGCTTTCAAATGGTTCAAAAACAAGATGAACATCCTGTCAGAAATCATTGATTTAATGTGCAGATAAGATTTCTTGAACACAATTTACCCATCAATTTAATGCTTTAAAGTATTAGGAAGTATTGGGTATGAATCATAGAAAAATAAAAGCAAGAAATGTTGTTTGATAAATATTTCAAACCAATAGATTTATAGGTTAGGCAGGTAAGTAATAGTTTACTTTCAGATATGTTTATTTGAACAAAACTAGTGCTATGGTACTGCTGATACTATTACTATTATTATGAAAGTGGAACAATACTATTACTATTGTATTAATCTTTCCCATAAAACTGAAAAATAGGGAAAATAGTAGAAAACTCATTTTTTTTAAGATTATTGGTTGTGTTATGGTGTTTAGGTGCTTTGTCACTTGTGATGGATTCTAAAGAAATATGTATATTAACTTGATACTTGTGTTAACGGGGAATATAAATCATAACTCACAATAACTTTTACAGGGTAAGGAAATTTAAATTGTTTACTAATTCTACAGAATTTTGTGCATGTGTAATCTAACTGGCAATAATTCCTGCTAGGAATTTGGTCAGATTATAATTGAATGACATATATAGAAGCTATGGATATTAGTTGGCAACCTTCTTTAAAAGTTTGGGAGATCCTCTAGTTATTAGATTCTAAAGAGTTACTTGTTAATTTCATTATTTTTGTAATTTAAGTAAGAACTTGTTCAAGTGGGTTTCTCTAGGTTTAGTCATGTTACCTTGCACAAGTATAAAATATATGTCATCGTTCAACAGTTTGTTATATGTTTTGACGTACACATATTTAAAATAATAATCTTGTCTGATTTCAGAATGATAATTTTGTCATTATTTTTTTAAATTCCAAATGACTAAGTCACTGTAGGATAAGTTTAACTTTTTGTGGTTTTTCTAATAGGTTATTACTTTTACACTTAGTCTTCAAAAAAACACTAATGAGAGAATGGCTATGTTTAGGGATACTAGGAAATCAGATATTTTGTTCGTTTTTAGAGGAAACTATCCTTGCTAAGAGTAGAAGGCTTCTTAAAAAATATTGATTTCTTAGTGAAAGCTTTATCATAATTCTCAAGCTTCTGATCAGTCTCCAGTTTGAGTTCTTAATAGTGAAATTTATCTGTTTATTAGTAAGAATATTTAACTTAGTGTATAAGTTCTTTTCAACATTTCTGTGGATGTCTATTTCAAGAGGTACAAACATAGTCAGTCTGTAGTTGAATTTTTGTTAAATACTTTGATGTTTAGTTCAAAAACTTATCAGTATTTCCAGGAGTGATATTAACTTTTGTTCATTGCTGTTGAAACATTGTATATTTATCCTTATCCTGGTAGAAGCTGTAAATATTATTTAAAACAGTAGGCATCCAATCTTTAAGAAAGCTCATATTTGATGAAGATTTGAAGTGAATGACTAGATTTATTTTAGTATTATTATTATATAACATTTACAGGGAATTTGCCTAAAGTCTTGTAGAAATGAATTATTGATATAATTTTTTTTAAATTCTTCACAAAATTTGGTAAACTTTTAGTAAATGTAAAAAGTTTGTTTTACACAAAAAAATCAGAATTATTAATAATGTATTTTTCTAAAGATTAGTGTGTCAATATACAGAGTTTATCTGGCACAGATTCAGACTAGTCTAAAAAGTTTAAAAATACAAATAAAACTTAAATTGTTGAACACATTGATAATAAAATTGTTTAATTAGATTTGTAAAAAGGTCATGACACACTTACTTTGACCAATCTGTGTGCATAGGGTTACTCGTTTAGTTTGTGACACTAATCGATGTAATAACTGCTCTTAAATAATCGATTTAAATCGCTTGGCTGCAAAATGAAAGTGTAAAAACATTTTCTAGTGTCTGTTAACTTCCCTACTATTTGTTAATAAATATTATCTTTCTAGTGTCTGTTAACTTCCCTACTATTTGTTAATAAATATTATCTTTTTCTTGAATTACGTGTTCACTACTTATAGTTAACTCATTCACAATTAAAATTGTCAGATATTCTCAGTCAGTAATTTCAAAAGCTCTTCAAGTTGAAGCAATTTAAGAATATAACTTTCTTTTCATGCATGCATATTTCAGAATACATCAGAACTTTAGCTAGTTTAGAATTTCAATTTGTTTTAGGGAGACTTGAACTAGTTAAGAGTCTATGTATCAAGAACAGAAATTTGGAAATAAGCAGAAGGGGGGCTTTAAGTATATTTTTATTATACTGTTCAAACAAGATACTAGTTTAATGGTATTAAGAATTCTGAAGATTTTATAAAATCTGTGCTTTATTGAAACTTACACTTACGGCATGTTATAACTGACTTTTTAAAATGTTTATTCTAGGCTGTGTCGAGGCCGAAATGCTGAAATTTGGAATTATGTTTTAAGACATGTCTGGTCTCAGCAGTAAGTATTACACATTTTAATCAGTGATGTATGTCAGAACAGAAAAATGTTTGAGGTATTTCACTGACTACAAATGAAAGTTATTGTTTTTTAATTGCATTTTCAGAAAAATATCATAAAATTATTTTGGTTATATGTTTAATGCTTATCAAAAATAGTTATTAATCATTTTTTTTTACTTCTTTGCAACATCAGATTGTTTTCCTATAGCTGTATGTATGAAAGATTGTGTTTAAATATAGTGGAACCAAAAATTACTAATTAACCTGTTGGAACAAAATAAGATAAAATCATAACTAGACAGATAATATAGCAAAATGTTTTTTGCTAATAAATAATGTAGTTTTTTGTTCATACTCTATTTAATATAAATTTTACATTTCACTTGTCATCTGTTTTTCAGAGGTAAATATAAATTACAATAAGAAGTTATCAAGATTATTCTTAATGTGATATGCATCAGCACCTCCACATTTGAATCCTCTAGACAGGCAATGGCAGATATAATTAGCATGTAATCTTAATTTTTGGAAGTAAACTATCAGTACGAAGTTATGACATATTTTACAACCAAAATAAAAACATTGACACATTACTCTGTGAAATCTAAAATTTGTTTAAACAAATGTATAAAAATATTAAACTGAAAACATGAGTAAAGTATAAACTAAGCGATTCATCAAAGCATTTCAAAAAAGTAATTTTTATAATGTTATGTCTTAGTCTGCTGTTGCAATTATAATAATTTGTAGGTTTTACATTAAACCTTTGCATATGAGTAAGTCAAAGTTTGCATGTTTTGACTGTTTTACAGTCATGATAGAAAAACACATAGGTTCAAGAAGTCTTGATGGAAATGAACAAACACTGAGCGATTTCGAAAGGTGGACTTACTTCAGCTGGAGGACATTTGCACTCAAATTCACTGCTTCAGTAATCCTACTTCGTTGTCACTTATTGGTTGTCCAAAAAATAACTTGTGTACCTTTAAAATATGCATCTTAGAACAAAATAAAATATATTGGGCACTAGAATAGTATGTAGTAAAACTACTACGATTTATCTGGATTTCTAATGAAGCTACAAATAGGTTAAAAAAATTCTATTACTGCCAAAACTAAACAAATGAACTCATGACTCCTGTTTATTAAAATATGCTCTTTCTATTGGTTATAAACATGTCCATCAGACAAAAAAGCATGAGAGAATAATTGGCTTGAAAGACATGAAAAGATGGAAGGGACTTCCCTGGTGGGTTTGACAAATTTGTTGATTTTCTTGTTTTCATGCATATTTTTATCTATTGTTATATATTTTTAACAAAAGTAAAATATAAAAATTAGAAACTTCTTGGGTTATAACAAAAATGGGGAGGGGGGGGGGGAATTCACAAGAATCAAAATTAATAATAATAATATACTTTTTTTTTCTAGAATGACTGCACACTGTAAAAGATAATTAGTTATTTATCCTAACAGCCTCAGCATTTAACCATTTCACATTTGTCTTCCAATAGTTTTATGTTTTTATTACAATTTAGAACCATCTCTCTGTATGAAAAGTGATAGGTTGCAGCAGGATGTTTCCAGTACAGTTTAGGGTAAACAAGCAATCAGGTTTCTGTCATGGGACACACACACATACCATGCTATTTTATATTTTTCATCTTTTCGCTGTACATTGATGATTTCAGTACAGTTAGTGTTAGAGAAAGTAAGTGATAAAGTATGAAGTTTTACTGGAAAAAATTATGTAGGAGGGTTATTAATTATATATTTTTTATTATTTATCATATAGAACTATAAGGCAGGTGAAAGGAAACATTATGCTGTATCCTTTTTTATAATTAACATTATAATTTATATATTATTAATTATTATATTATTATATTATATTATTTATTAACATTATTAATTATAATCCTAGGATAATGTTTTATGTTCCACCTTCAGTAAGGAAAACCGTCAGGTGACTGTAACAATACAAGTTTTACCAAGGGCTCAGCCAAATGTAAATGGCTTAGTAGATGTTTGGTAACAGCTTAATCTATCTGGCAACTAACAAAGAAAAATTACCAAAAAAACTGCTTATTGTGAGAGGCTTAATAAAGTGAATAACTATTTTGTGACAAATACAAGTTTAATTCCTTACTTCACCCAGTATAATTCAGAATAATGCTTTTTTTACGCTTCTGGTTTTGGCTCTTTCTCGCATGTTTTGTATAGAAGTCATGATTATTTAAACCTCTATTTCTCATTAGGTCACGCAGGGTTATTTTTTGTCCTTGTCTTACATCATCATACATTTTATTTTTTTATTTTGTAAAACACAAGTGGAAGTAATGAACTTCAAAAATAATTTCTTTTGTGGGATTTCTCCCTTGAGTAGGTGGTTTTTATGTATAATTATTAACTTGATTTACATTAAATATATATTCCATTTCCAATTATAAACGTGTACTTGTGAGCTCTACAAGTGTTTGAAGTTCACTGTGTTTTCTATAATTTTCATGTGCTTGAACAGTATTATATTAGTACATTGAAATTTCAGACACTTTAAGTTACTGAAGTCATACAGAAGTTTTGGGGTGAATTTTTAATTCTTTCAGATGTAGTTGAAAAACATCATGATCAAGAAGACTATCTTGCTGTTATGCAGCTCTTTTGTATTATGAATAAGTGAATACATTTTTGGTTCTAATTTGTTAGGGAGTTTGCTTTGATCAGAAGTAAGTGATATCAGCATATAATTTTTTTTCTAATTTTGGGTAGATTGTTAGTTGTTTTGTTTTTCATTATAGTACAGAGAAAAAGTATTAGAAAAATGATTACATCACGGCATGTCAGTTGGTTAATTAATGTATATTTTTGGGATAACTTTGTTTTATTTCAAGTTGTCAAATACTTTTCTTACAGTTAAAGATTAATATAAGAATTATAATTTTGTGTAATTTGACTAATTTTAAATAACAGTTAAATTAATTTTCTATACAATATACTTATTCTGTTTTAGGACATTAACAGTGGTATTTAATTTGGTACTTTAATTTCAAGAACTTTGTCTTGAACAGTGCCTAATTTTGTTCATAAAATTAGTATAATTAAAATTTCTGGTATTTGGAACATTAGAAAATTATGAAATTTGTCTTAAATGTATTCATAGTATTAAAATGACTTAAGTATATTTCAACATTTTATATAACTAAATGAAATTCATAAAACTTGGGATAAGTTAATTTCTTGGAATAAAAGTATTAATTGTTATGAATTTATCATGATTTTGGAATGTTCTTATTGCCATAAATGAAGGAGTAGTAACGCTTATAGTCAGTTTTTAAATACGTTTTGCAAGGATTTGCCCATCATCTTTAAACTACTTGAGTCAGAAAATGCCTTAACCAGTTGTTAGAAAACATGCTCGACTCAAGCAAACACTAACATTTGAAGAAGAAAAGTTACAAGAGCATGCTGTGGATGATCGAAGTAAACTAGAGTCGGAAAGGTTTCTCCTGATGCAAGAGTTGTTGAAAGCTGAAGCAAAAAAACAACATTTAGAAAAGTCATTGGACCATCTTCTTAAAGATATGATGAATTCAGGTTTGTATAAGAATTTATTTTACTACTGATTGCCTTTATATTTTAACCTAATCTGCATGGCTTGTTTCTTCTTATGTCGTGACGCATGATATTTTACGGAGTTAATTTCAAAACTTTATTATTAATATATGTCAATGTATATCTACTTCATAACTCTGATTTTTATATTAATTTTTAGTTTTTTAATTTCAAAAGAATATTTTTGAAAATTCTCATTCTTCACTTTTGTCGCTTGACGTGTGATCACCCCTTTAGTGTTTTTTTAGTTAATATAACTCCAAATTCCTAACTTGTCTTATTTTAGACACAATACTTATACAATACCAAAGTCCATTATGAAATTCTTAACATCCCCATTTACTGAGATATAAGTAAATTTTCTCAACCCATGACAGAAGCATTGCCCATCTGTCATTTACTTTCTAGGGTGTTTTCAAAACCAGCTCATCTTATTTGATGTAGTTGTTTAAAAACAATAAAAAGAGCTTATTTGAAATTACAAGCTTCTAGCAGTTCTTTTGAAATTGGCAGAAATATATAATAATAATAATAATAACAACATGTCTTGGTTGTGTAACTTGGAAGTAAGAGAACTTGAAACTTATAGCAGTTAACAATTTTTATAACAGTTATATCTTAGTTAGAAGTAAAGTTAACTTTAATATGTTTGTGAAAACTGTTTTAGCTGCTTGTGTTTTAAGATGGTCAGTCAAGAAACTTATGAAAAACTTTAGGCTGAGGTAATTATGAGTACAGAATTCATGAGTCAAAAACTGCATGTATCCTTAAATAATTTTTGCAGTGTGATGTGTCCTTCTGATATGAGAAAACCAAACATCGTAAAACTTTGGCAATAAAACTATAAAAGTAAACAGAGGAAATTGTGAATAGCGTACGATCCTTTTTTGTAAACATATCAATTATTGGAAGAAGAAAAAGGTGATTTTATTTCATAATTTTCAAAATTTCATTTTGTTTCATTGTACATTCAGCTACAATTAGTATTAAGTAGAGAAATTAACAAATAAAATATAAAATTGTGTCTTAAAACTGATTTGTTATTCATTCCAAAGGTGCTGAAAGTTATGCAAATAAAATATGAAAACGTTAAGATGAAAAATAATTCATTTTATTCTTAGCAATGAAAACCACCTTGCACTTAGACTGAATCAGACTGACTTTGTAAATGCAGAAAATACTTCAGTAAATTTATAGCAAGTATGAACTCTGAGATAACTCGCCTCGCACATCTGCCAGAGATCTGCATGCCACTATCCTTGAGGCAATTTCCATCTAATTTCACATAATTTAACATGAATTGTGGTTCTGCATGATGAAGTCATGCAACAAAAGCCTTCCACCAATAGGAGGGTAACACTCCTCATATGCACTTGCACTCATGGTAACTTCATTTCTTTTCTTGGCTTTGTATTGAAAAGACATGTTTAAATATCTCATCCGTGTTAAATTTATTGAGATTTAAAATGTTAACAAAGCTTTGATTTTCATGTTCTTTGGCATTTGGTTCAAAAGCTTTATTTTTTGTGAATTCTCGAATGACAAAGAATCATACTTAGTCCTGAGTGAGTGATGTTGTTCACAATTAGGCCTTATTTCTACTAAACCTTTTTGAGGCTCGTTAACTGCCATGGTCACTGCAGCTATTTTTCAATACGTTGTGGATTACCACATGCTTAATGGGCCTCCTACTTCTGTCCTGTCAGCCAAATTCCTTATACATAGGTGGAAATGATCTATTGGGCTACGAACTTCACCTGATTTGCTTTGGGTAATACCTTACTATTCGTGAAATGTTCTTAACATTTCATCCTCTTTCTGGATTTCATTATCATGTATGTTCCATTTCTTATCTTTTGCATGCAGTTTTTATTGTTTCTAATTTTGTACTCTTTGATCCTTGATTTTTGGAGTTTACCTTGTCTTTTCTCCTTGCTTATTATTAGGATTTATTCTGTTTCCATTCTCTAATATTCTTTTGTCATATGCAAATGCTTCATCCTCCTCACATTCATGATTACCTTGGTCCTGATTTGTAGACTTTCTTCCTTTCCCTTTCTTCATTCCCTGTCACTGGTATCTGTTTGGCCAGCTTGGGGATCGTGTCCCTTATCTTCCATTTCCATTTCTGGTTCCACATTTTCGTGTTTTCATCTCTTTTTCTCTCTATCCTCCTGTATTCCCTCTCCTAACTCTGCTTTTTCTATGAGGTACTTCTTCATGCTTCAGTGGATGTTTGTTTTCTTCTCTGTTTAGCATGTTCCATTTCTTTTACTCTATCTCTCCATCCTTTGTTCACCTGCCGTTGGAACTCGTTAGGTTGGATTACATTCCTCTTTCTTCTTTTGTACTTGTTATTTGTCTGGCTCCCTTTCTTTGCTCAGATGTCTTCAGTGATGTTTTGTGGCTTCTGTCGTCATTATCTTCCAAGATATTTTTCCTCTGTCTTGACCGTACCCTTTACTTTTGTTCCTTGTTTTGATCAGTCTACACCTAACCTTACTGTTCTGGATTCCAGGCCTTTCTCTTTTTCTCGTCTTCCCTCAACCAGAAGTCTAGTTCATCACTCTTTTTGTCAGTGATTTTCACACATTAACAGTTCTGTTGGTGCCTGTCTCTTCTTCTGTTGTCATTCTCATTTTCTACCATCTGTTATTTCTCATTTCTCCTTCTTGGCCTCTTTCCTTGCTCCTCTTCTCTTCACATCTCTCCCTATTTCCTCTTCATCTCCCTCTGACCCCATCTATGGTCTTTTTTCACCCAGTTGCAATTGGCTATGGTTTATGCATTGGACACCATCCTACATATCACTCTCGGCTTGTCCTCTACTTGTTTTCTATGTTCCATCCATTTGTTCCCCCAGTTATTCCATTCCTTGCTCTTCCATTTGTCTTATCGTTGGCCCCTTTTATATTCATTGGTATTGTGAGGTCCTTCATTTGCCATATTCATTTACTATTTACTTCTGTTCACTCATTCTTGGATGTTTTCTCCAACCTCATTTCTTTTATGGTGGTTACTTCTTTGGTGTGGGGGAACTTATCCTGGGATCTAATTCCTTTCTTATGCCCACTCAATGTTTGGTACTTTTGGGCATTTTCTACTTCTCTTGCCTCAACCAAGTTCAGTCTTCTCTTCTTTGCCTGTGAGCTATAGCATATCTGGTTGCCAGGTTTATATTTCTCATTCTCTTTTTGCACGAGAATTTCCTTTACTTTTGAGGACTCTAGATTCCCTGTAACCCCTCAATCCTTTGAGGCATGCACTCATGCATCTTCTACAATGCACCTTGCAGACCCAAGGTTTTCTTTCTTGGGATTCATTGTCCTCTTTTGTGAGCCTCTCTTTGACGAATTGCCACAGTGACTGAATTGTGCCCATTCCACTTCCTGCATTCCCTTACTGCCTCTCAAGCGAGATATCTCCCTTCTTTGGTACTTCCCTCTCTGATTGAGGCACATTTCTAGATGTGGGCAGGACGTCTCACCATTAGATGCTGGACAAATGTTCACTCCACATCAATGTGCTCAACCTTGAGCATGTTCCCTGCTCCTACTGGTGGATCACTGTGACATGTTCCACTCACTCTATTCCAGGGTTGTTTCTTGCACTAACCATCTGAGAGATGGCAGTTCCAGGACCTTTTGCTTTCAGGCATTAGATGTAAACATCAGGTTGATCTTCTTTTCTGTATTTTGGTGGGAGCGCTTCTCTCGGCTAGTCTGCATTCTGTCATTGGAAAGGTCTCTATGATCCAGGTCTTGTATGGGGTTTACTCTTAGTTGGACACACTCATTGTGGATGAATTTGCCACCCTTTTCAACTCTGGGCTTCCTCACTTATGGTCTCCTGTTCCTCATCCTTGAGCTCTGGCTGTTTGAGTTTCTCAGCCAGGCCTGGCATCACTTATTTCTATCTGCTTATTCATCTCTTCTATCTGGTCTTCAGCTTTTCCACACCTTTCTCCTTCTTGGGTCGTATTGTTGGTGCCTCTCTGATCATCTCAGCCTTGATCTGTTCAACATTTGGACCACCCCTTTTCTCAATATCCTCTCTTTCTCTTGCTTCCCTCTTGTGCATCCTTTCTTCTTGGAGGGATATCTTCACTCCATCCTCACATGTGCAGTTTACTGATCTGTTACCAGTCAGACCAGACATTCTAGTTATGTGACATTCTTCTTGTTACCCTTTCACTGCCGTTATCTATCAACATCTGTGGTGGGACTCTTGTCATAAGTCCTTCTGCCACTCCTTTCCTCCAGGCTGTCATACTGTGAACCACCTTTTTGCTACTTTTTACTCAGACTTGTCGGTCTCTGCTTTTACTAGTTGTTGGGAGGCTTCTTGCATGGCTACTCTCATTTTCAGGTATTAAAGTGTTTCTTCCCCTGTCTTATCCACTCTATTCCGGTCCTTTGTTCTCCGCCTCGCCAAATCTCGTACTTCTCCGAGACCTTAGTAAGGTTTTGTACAATCTCGTACTTGTCCTATTTGAGCTGTTGATTTCCTACCTTTTGTGCTATATTTCCTCCTCCTACTCACTTGATTCCTGTTTCTTGGATATCTATCTTATAAATGCTTCCTGCATTCTCTTGCATATCTTCATCACCAGTCCTAGAACAAGCTCCTCCAGGCAGGCATATGGACACTCTCCACACTTCTGTCTCCTTCCCTACATCTTCTGGCTGTTTTATCTTCTGATGGTTTTCGTGTTCCACACGTCTCTTATTCTTCAATATCTCCACTGTCTTTGAGAAGAACACAGAGAGCTGCTTTTTCAGTTCTTAGGCCCCCTTTCCTGGCCAAGATGAGATGTGGTCTCTGATGGATGTGCCCCTATGGAGGTTCTGCCATCAGGTGTCACATTCCATGGCCTTCCTTTGGACACTTTCCGAAGGGAACTCGTCTGCTAGCTAATTTGTGCATGGAGGTGAGTTATGATCTCAGAAGTTAATATTTTCCTTACCTGAAAATGAATTTCTGATAGATATTCACCTCTTCACACATTCCTACTCATCTTCCACATTTCCTATGCACCTGTATTTTCCTTGCCTCATCAAAGAATGAAGCTACCACAAGTACAAGTGCATAGGAGGATTTAATATGCATGGAGAGATGTTGCCCTTTCATTGATATAGGGCTCTTGTCACATGATGACATCATCATGCAGCAACACAATTCATGTGAAATTAGGTGGAGTTTCCTCAAGGTTAGTGGTTTGCAAATCTCTCTGGCAGATGCATGAGGAAGATGGCTAAACTGTGCAAAGAGGTGAGTATCTCTTTGCAAATATATTTTCAAGTAAGGAAAATGTTAACTTTTTCTGTACAACAGACTAGTAAAGTTTACTAAAAGTAAAAACTTTGCCATATTTCTTGAAGACACAGGTAGTAAATTGGTTATTGTAGTAAACATTGCTATGTATAGCTTCACAGGAACAGCGATTGGTGGGTCACCCTCACCATGTCAGTAGAGATGAAATCTTTGGGAAGCAATGTTTTTTTTGTTTTTTTTTACCATGAACATAAATTACTTCTAAGTGTACTGGTTATAACTTATTTTTAACTTTCTGGTTATTATATTATTTGTTTAAAGAAAAATATTTAATGTTAATTTGATTTTCAACATCATGTGATATATGTATCAGTGAATACAAATCTTGTGCGATAGTAGTATTGGAATGGACCGACCAACTACAGTGATTTCACACATGGATAGCTTTAAAAAGGGAAATATACAGTCATTGAAATGCTGACAATTTATTACTGTTTTTGAGGTCGGTGAACTACAGAAAAAAAAAATCAATACTTTGTATGATGTTGCCAATTTGCCTATTAAGTGGCAGCATTCTAGGGCAATATTTTTAGCAGAAAAAAATAATCATGTCAAGCTTTCTAATTAAATGTTGTTTAAGATAAGAAGACGTTTTCTCTTATCAATTAAAACATGAAAGTTAAGAACTTGCACCTTACTATACATTTTAAGACTTGTCATGAATAAGAGGTGTCTGGCATTTGCCATTGATATTTTTTAGTTGTTTAATCTTTGGCAGTCAACTAAAAGTTTACTTGTGATTTTTCCCTCTTTCTAATATTTTCAACCTACTGTAGTTATTGCTGTTTTTCTAAAATTAAGTTTTGAAAAACTAAGTATCTATATGAAATTTTTAATTATGAAATAAAGATATTGCAAAATAGTACATTTTCAGACAGTTATTGCAAATAGATAATTTTGAAACTGAGTCAGCTGGTAACAACTTCTCATGCTCATTTTTAATTTTTTATAAGTTATGTTTTTTAAATTTAGACGTTTTGTTTTTGACTATAGAGTTTTTAACGTTGTGAGAAGTATTATTTATTGACTAGAAGTTCCTTGAAAGTGTAAGAAACAGTATGAATGATATAAAATGTAAGTTAGACTAGATTGTTGTCAGGTTTCTAAATTTTAAGTTTGTGTTTCAATGAAGTCCTGGAGATATGAGAATTAATGCACATAAAAGGAGATTAGAGAAAATTAAAAGAAGATCAAGAAGAAAGAGATAAGGATTTAAAAGACAAATTAAGAGAACAGAATGTGAGTTTGCAGAATAATTACAAACAAAAAAATAAGTTTGTTCAAAGGCAGAATTGAGGAATCCATAAAAAATATACAGAAGAATTATACCAACAAAATCGAAGAAGTATAGAAGGACTTGAATGAAGTAAAATGTGAAAAAGAAAGTACAATAGGATATATCTTAAATACAGAAGGATTATAACAACAAGATAAATGACACAGTAAAGAACAGGGTGAAACATTTGGAAAGTGAATTGGCAAATGTATAGATCAAACCAGCCATACCTCTCTCTGCATCAGCACAAGAATTCTAACTTAAAACACCATTAACCAGCCATGCAATATAGAATAGGAAAATCCATCTGGTTTACTCTTGTTACCATTACTTGTGTACCACCTGTGAACCTTCCTGGATCACTCCAGCTACACAATTACTTCATCAAATTATGGAATTTAGCAGGCCAATTCAACAATATTGCTCAATGAAGAAACGGACTTTGATGGAAAGGTATCGCGTGATGAATATCAAGCATAATAATTTCCAATTGAATGGATGGAGAAAAAACTATTCATCTTGCTGCACATTTAAAAGGACTAACTTTAACAATATTAACCAGCCTTTCTACAAATGTAGTGTCACATCAAAAAGAAGTTTCTAAGCAAAGTTTAGGAGAAGGAGGAAGAACAAGAATTTGGCTGAAATTGCTAAAGATCTAGAAAGAGTTGCTTAATTATGTTATTGAGATATTCCATGCAATCAATTCGTAGATACCATAATTAACGAGAATATGTGAATTAGACTAAAACAAAGGTAGTTCTCATCTCTAAAGGAGTCTTATCAGTTGGCAATGGAACATGAATCAGTTAAGTAAAAGAGATACAGCTAATTTAACTAATCGGGATTTATGAGATTATAAGAATACTATAGAAACATCAACTCTTTTATAATGTAGTTCTAGAAGAGCTCAAACAGTTGATTAAACAACTGTTAGCTTAAAATGGGAGAAGTTAACCACAGAACAGAAGGTGTTATTAAAAGTACATGTTGTCGGGAACTACACGTACTCACAAAGCCTTTAGAAAACAAACTGCTCCTGAAAGATGACAGGAAAAGGAAACTACTATAAGTGTGGAAACATGTACATTATGTTTGAGATTGTGGTAAATCAATGATTTATAATAAACCAAGAATACAGTATAATGAAAATGAGAATACTCCACTTGACCTTCTGAGATAAGGGATGCAATAAGTAAAGAAAACTGTCCAAGGGTCAATGGATTTTGATGAGAAGCCTAGTGAAATGTTGATTGTCACTAGTTCTTTAGTTACAAATGTTCAATCTGAAATGGTAATGAAAGAACTAGGAAATTGCCCACAGAGATGAAGCAATTGGTCATTAAGTTCCAGCAAGAGAAAGTTAGAAATCACACTCTTGGTGGGAGACTTCTCTACATAACTTGATGTGTGGGTAATTTACATAGAGGAAGAGTACATATTGGGAACAGACTTCATATGGGAACATAAGTTTGATGTTAAGGATAGCTTTAAACAGTTTCACAGCCTGTACTGGTCACTACAGGGGAATTACTCCAACATAGGTTGTACTTCCATTGAAAATATGGATGGAAGCACAAGATAAAGACCATCACCAAACTAAAGTGGAACAGAGTGGGACTTGGATAGGTAAACAAAGGTCATTCAACATGACCATCTGTGGGACCAGGCTAGCTTCAGTAAAGACTTCATCAAAGGTAACTTAGCCTCCTTTAAAACCCATGGTTCTTGTTAAGACCATTAGCAGAGTATCATCAAGGATGGATCCATCACTGTATTCCATTGAAAATTTACTCAAAGAGAGCTCTCCTTGTGACAAGACAGCAAGTGTTTGATAGAGGGCAAAAGGTCATCTCATTTTCACACCCAAAGCCATGGAAAAGAAACTATCAAAAAAGATTCTGGGACAGTAAATGAATTAAGATTTTGTTTTGGTAATCAAAATTTTGAGTTTACATTGTTGCACACTTTTAATTAATGATTTAATGAGTGGATTGTATATAGTTATGGATATTAATGATAATTGTGAATAGTTACTTTATTGTTAATTATTTGAGCCTGATGTACCACTGTTTTTGTTTTTCTTGAAGTCGCACGATAAGCACCTGTCTTAATGACTACAACATTTTTAAAATGTACGAAATGATTTGAACGATATAAACCATGAGTTAGACTAGATTGTGGATTGACTAGTGAATCTGTTATGGTTGGGGATTAATTATTGATTAAGTAAATTTGACTGCTACTTCAATTTAACGTATTTCATCTGCATTCTTCAGTGAATTATTATTTTTTTCCATTATTTGTAAAGTTTAGCTTATCTTTAGTTTGTGAAACTATGCAAGTTATAGAACTTGAAGTTCAATAAATGAAATGCTTTTATCTTTAAATGGACTGGATTTTGATTTTTTATATTATATACAAGTAATGCCAAAGAACCTTCCTAGTAGTAAAAGCCATTATAATGTAAGTTTATGATATGTATTGACCATTTATATGTGAATCTTTCAGATAGAAGAGTGACAACTGCTCGAGACAAAGTTAAGGAACTTCAACAAACTTTGGTACTGGGAGAACTGTTTTCAGTTTCTGCTGTAGAGAAATCCCAGGGTTTTCTTCAGCTTAGAAACCAGCTTGATTTTATTTTGACAGCACTGAAAGAGTCATCAAGGTATACATTTTTCTCCCCCCTCAAAGAATTTGATTTTGGGTTTTTTATTGTTGTTATTATTATTACATCCTATTAATTCAGCTTTTCATATTAAATTATTTGTAGTTGCATAAGTTGGGAATAGTCTAGTGGTTATCATGCTGAATTGTGAATCTGAAGGTCAATGGTATGCATCCCATTCTCACAAAAATCCTACTACACATTTTGGAGCTATGTATGCATTATAAGAGTGGCAGTCAAATTCCACTATTCATTTAGAGTAGTCCAAGAGTTGATGGTGGGTGTTGTTGACTAGGTGCCTTACTTAGTTTATGAGTTCTAAATCGGGAATGGCTTGTGCAGGTAGCCTGTGTGTAGCTTTCATGAATATCCAAAAACAAACAAATTTTACATTTGTTACTTGTTATTCTGTATGCTTGGTAAAAGTGTACAAAGTTTAAAGAAACATGATGTGATTTTTTTTTTAGGTTTTTCTTATTTTATGCTTATGTAGGAGGAAATTTCATCACCTTTTTATTGTAAACATTTTGAAAAATACAGTACAATTACTTGAAATGGTTTAACAATGGAAATGTTTTCAAGATGCTGCATACATCATCCTATGAAATTACAGATATTTCTAAAAAAGTGAAAGCTAAGACTGGTAAAGGTTGGATCCTTGGGTTATGGGTTGGCTGCCTTCTGATGTAAAACAGTCTCAGGATAGACTCAATATGAAGAAATATTCTCTTTAAAACTTCCTGAACACTGGACAAAGCAATATTTTCAAACAGAATTTTACTTACTGCAATCAATATTTAGTACATGTTGTTTCTGCTTGAGATTTTCTTTTCAAAGAACAAATTGCAATGAAAACAAGATATCTCAGCATGGCTGTTATTTAAAATCTCTGTTAAATGTCTAAAATCTTGTCGGGCCTCCAGCTAAAACATTTGGGAACCCCTGCTTTAATCAACTAAGCTACTTTGTGTTGAATACTGTAAGTCAGTGTTCAGTTTATTGGTTATTAAGGACAGATTTTGGCTGATCTCTTGACCTACACTGATCAATTTGTAGGCCTATAGCATGAGATCAGTTTTTTTTCCATTTCGTAGTTTAGATTGGATCTTGAGACTTCCATCATTAAAGACTTGGTTTGTTAAAACATCTGCCTAACTAGTACAGCCATAGTCTTAAATCCCACCTGGTGTCAGTTGTCATTTTTCAGAAATATTTCATTTTACAATTGCTTGTATTTTTACAGTGTAATGTTAGAAAAATTACATTGTGGATGTTTCTACTAAAATAAAGTCAAGTTAAATTAAAAAAAACAAAACCTTATGTAACTTATCTTTACAAGTTCTTACATAATGTGGTTATGACTTTATTTATTTATATATGAATATTTCACTAACATTTTCTTTCAGGGTGACTTTTATGTTTGTAAAAGTGAAATAAACCATGACCTTTCTTGTATCATACTGAGAGATTAACCATTTTGTGGGGCTTTTTACTTTGGGTTACTTTACATACTTTTTTCATGGTTGCTTTTAGATAATAAATCACTTCTGAATGTTTTTTCTTTCCAGGGTAGACTGTAAGGAACTGTACTTGTGTCACAGTATGCAAGAGCCACATGAAGGCTTAGAATCTGGCCTAGAAACTACTACTTCTGTAAGTTTTCCTTAACCCCTACATTGTAGAAGATGTATATATACTGTACTATCAGAATTTTATATTTCTGTAAATTAAGTGTTTCTACTCAACCTCTAATTTAGTATATAGATACTTAACTCACAGACTTGCTAAAAATTCATGTAATTTGTGCATTTACATTTAGCTTAAGTTGTCATTGTAAAAAAAATGCCATTGAGTTCTGTATTTGTTTTTTATCATTGTTAGTATTTCAAATAATTTGCATTTGATCCTTTAACTCTTTCGACACTGGCTCAGTCCCTGGGACCGAGTCACGTGACCTCCTGCACTCATTTAAAGTTGATTTAAATTTAATACTTATAACTCTATATATTGGGTATATATTCACAAAATTTGGCAGTCATTCAGTTAATATTACAAGTATTTCACATACAAAAATCATATTTCTTAGTGAAGTACTTTTAATAAAATAAATTAACGTTTTGTTCATGAATATATTGAGTATTTGTTTTGAATAGTAGTGTGCAAAGTAATTTTCATGTTAAATTAAAAATACTTTTCTCCATCTCAAAATCTCAAATTTCCTTTGTTTAATCCCTAAAACCTCCAAAATGCATTTAAAACTTTTTTTTTTTACTAAATCTTTGTAGTTTATATGTTATTTTCTCTACCCTAATCTCAAAGCAGGATCAGTCAATTTGACCGACCTCGTAACCACCCAAAATAAATCTAAATTAATCTTCTTTTCTTTCTAGTATGACTTCAAATTATAACATGAAACTACATTTGTTTATCCTAAGTAGCTCTAAGTTTGAAACATTATACGTCCATTTATAATTAAATTTTGTTTTATTGCCCTTTGAACTATGTCTAACTGCTATCTGCGCTATTATAAGTTGTAAATCACTCGGGGAACATGCAGCTCGTGTTACACTATTGAATTACAGCACTCACGAGCTGCTCACATGCATGTTATGTGAACAATTTTAATCATATTATTATTAGTACTTATTTTACATATTCTAGTCTTAAATAACTTAAAAAGATTTTTTAAACTATGCGACAAGAGCCATTAGAAATTCATCTAAGCTAGTCATTAACTTTCCCATGGGAACGATGTTGCTACTCAGTGACATTGATGGGTAACCTTGACTTTCTATTCGTTATAAATAATATATAATGAAAGGTAAGAGAGAACTATCAACCAATTGTGAAAGAGAGGATATGACAGGAGGGGTCTGATTTTCTCTTAAAGAGCTCTGTAACAAAACAAAATTGAAGGCCACAAAAATTATGGTCTGTTTGAGCAATAAGGCATTTATAGAGAGCATTTTACATTTAATTTCGTACATTTTCGAGGGGTGATGGATAAAATAGGGATGATGACATGCTAAGACAAACTTTATCATGTGTGTTACACTAGTGGAAACTCAGGATTTTTTTATATATTTCATTTTAGAATTAAGAACTTAAAACTTGTATACTATTAAAATATGGATTATTAGCTAAGATTTTATGCTGTTCTAATTGGTATAACATAAACAAAAAGTAGTTTAATAAAATTTTGAATGTAAGACACTAAAACCTTGTATCATGAGCAGTAAAGGGTACCTGTACCCATACGGTTAAGATAACATATGGTACTTATGGCTCTTGGATGGGTTAGGAATGATCAGATTATTCAGGAACCTCTTATAAAAGATTAACAAAGCTAAACTCTCATATAAAACTGAGACATTGATATATATATATATCTTTAATGGTGTAAGTCTTGTACATGTCCTCTTATATACTAAGTAAGTTGAAAGTTTAAAATATAAAAATATAATTACTTGATGCATAAAATGAAAATACTAATTGTTGTTTTGTCAGTATCATCTTCTTACGTAACTAATTTTTTCCACAGAATGAACTACGGGAAATAACAGAAGCTATAGAGAAGTTTCTTCATAAACTCAGCGTAGGAGATTTTACAAATGACAGGGTTCTTCTGTAAGTTTGTCAATGATTGTACGTTAATCATTTTGTTGGATTATTTCTTAAGCACAAAAAAAATGTTTGAACTTCTAGCATTTTTAACCCTTCTGTGACTAATATAGAGAATTAATAGGGGTTTTCTGTATAAATTATTTTTCCTTATGTTACTAGTAAGTTTGGAAATTTATAATTTTGGCTACACTTCATAAATGTCTGCACTCTACTTAATATTTGTTTTCTTTGTACTTTAAAACTACTGTTTATATTTCAAAATAAATCTTGTAACATTCATTGTTTTTTGTAGTGCTCAGCCAATACATATTTAATATCGTTTTTAACTGGATGCAGTTATTTTTCAGCATGATCTAACTTCAACGTTGTGAAGTTTACCATAAATATAAAAAAACATACATACATTTTCTCTGCATCTTCTTTTTTTATTCATTGTAACTGAAAGGTTTAGAGAAATATAGTAATTATGTTATCCATCCATTATAGACATCTACCTTGCATATGATAACTAGAGTTCTAATTAGCATATTGTAATTAGGTTTCACGGGTTACTTCTGTTACAGATGGAAAAATACATATTTTGTATTGAAAGTTAAGTTCACTATTTCAAAAAAATTGAAATTTGATTTCTTTGCAAAATAAAACTACTATTTTCTGGTTTATGAAATGATACTTTTTACTCTTAAAACAATGTTTGATTTTACCCCTCATGTTATACACAGGTTCGAAGATAGTTCCGGTAAGAACTCTCTGGTTAAGAGCATATTTAACCAAAACTATTTTGTTCCTTTTACTTTTGTGTGCTTTTTTTAATTAATTCGTTGACATTGTGCCACCTACTGCATTACAATAACATATTTGTAATTATATCATTTGTCTCGATTCTTCATAACTAGAAGTTGTTTATCTCGCAAGCTAGTTACAATTAATCAATACCTTTTTGATTTGAAATATATTGATCTCATCCATCATACCAAAATATTGCAACTATTATATAAAAAAGTTAGTTTCTGTAATGTTCACTAATTTTGTAAACATGTAAGATCACTATATCTTAAGGTTTAGTATTTTTTGTTGTTGTTGTAATATTAAAGGAGTTGAACTGTGAAAACTGTAAAGTTGTTTATTACGTGTTTGTGACTTATGCAACAGTGAGCTGTCTGTAGTGTAAAGAGCATAACAAAAAACACTTGTGGTTGTATTGATTACCCCAGAGTGCAGGTTAGCACAGTTTAAAAATAATTTCTAAGAATTTCTTTACAAAAGTAACATCCTAGACTTGCTCGACAATAGAGGTCATCTTATACCCCAAATCTCAAAGAAATATACTAAATTTGCTCAAAAAATCCAGGGATATCTTGTACGTGGGATCATCTTTTACTCTGGCAAGTATGGTCACTGCAAAATTTACACACATCATATTTATGAACGTGCCAAACATAAAAGCTAATGGTTAGGGGGGGGGATCAGCCATTCTGTTGATGGATATTATTTTTTTATGGTTAAATTTAATACATCTGGAATCAATTGTTTCTTTTTAAATGGACATACTAATAAATGGCTACCCAGAATTTTTACTATTACTTATTTTGTAAGGTGATTTTATCTTTTCTGTATTAACTTGGATCTGTGTATTTTCTCTTTAAGTTTACTTGTACAAATTTGTTTATTATTTAGACATTCAGTGAAAAAGGATTTGTGGCAGAGTGTAAAGAAATTAGTAAAACATCACCCAAAACATAGATTGCTTAGCAATCTCATTGCTCATGCACAGGAGGCAATTGTTTCTGTGAAGCATCTCATTGAAGATGTCGATGTCTTAAAGGATGCTAGGAAATTGAAGTAAGTGTATTCAAATAATATAAACTTAGAATTTGTAACATTTCACAATATACTTCCAATTTTGATGTGAGAACAGAATGTTTTTTTTTCTACTATGTAATTGATTATGTAAGCTTTTAGCATGTGACTGTTGTAGTTCACAAGAGTGGCACTCATATCTGTGGGTACTTGTGTATATATTTTGCTGAAGACTTTCTTCCAACCACATTTGAAGATAATGTTTACTGGGAGCATTAACTATATTTTGGTGACATTAAAGGTAGATGGCAGTTTGTAAGATATTGAAATTTACTTTCATGTAAATGATCAGAAAAAATATAAAAGAAAGTGTACACACCAAAATTTTAAGTGAAAGTTTACGAAGGAGACGTGTGTGGGTATCTTCTGTGTGGTCTATTAAATGTGTTTTACCTTCTTAACAATAAATTTTGGGTACATGCTCAGAGAAATAGAGATAATATGGGTGGCTTTTGAATCTCTGATAAAATTCCAATGTATTCAGATTGCCGTTTTGTAGTATGCGACTGTCTCTTGGTTATATGTATATATATTAGACTTGGAAAAAGAACTCTAAACTCTTCTTTTTCTTTTTTTGGGGGGTGGGGGCTATAACTTACAAGTACATACCTTAATCCCCATTTTAGGGTAGTTATGGTTTGGAGATAAGATTCTACATGTTTAAAATCCTAAACTACATACTTGCATCATCCAAGATGTTGCTTTCAATTTCACTTGGGAAATAAAAGTTAAATCTAACAGTTTCTCTGCCTGTTATGTATAACTTAAAACTATAAATATGTTATCAACATTCTTTACATTAACTTTTTACAGAAGTAACTCGCATTTGATGAATGTTATACATCTGAAGACCACAAAATGAATATGTCTGTGTATGCATATATATGATCAAACACGATGCAATCTTTATAAACTTGTAAATAATATTTGGTAGTTAACTCTTAAATTTTATAGGTAATTTTTTTAAATCACCGATTTAAAAAGAAAAAAAAGCGTGTGTAATGATACAGCGAAAGTTTATAAATATAGATTCACATATAGATCTATTCCAGGAGTATTATTCACTTATAAATTGAAAAAAGAAATACAACCAGATAGGCTAGTTAAGTTCAACAGGAATTTTATTTTCTCACAATTTTTTTTTGATATAAAAATACTTTACATTTTCTGGAGTATATTCTTTGACTTGTGTGTTAGTCATTTGCATGGGGGTATTGAATACTTAAATAAACTATTTTCTTGTTAACAGTTGGTAACAGTAATTTTCCTTTTACAATTTTACAGATACCAGCAGAGTGGTGTGGTCACTAGGAAGGATGTTAAAAATAGTTATAACCTTCATCAGACTGTGGGGCAGTTGCTTGAGGTATATTTTTATATAGCAAATTTACTGTCGTATTGGAAACTTGTTGGAGATGTGTTTTATTACTGTTTAACAGATGTGTACCTTTCTTTAAGTTTTGACATTTTATCATCCATATATATCAAGCTTTTAAGTGCTGAGAGCTCTAATTTCTAACATGGGAGCTATGTTTATGATCTATAATCAGTTTTTGTGATTGGTAAAACATACATAAAACTATTTAAACCTTATGCAGTTAGGGAACCAGGCCCCAACTAATTATAATTTTTAAACATGCTGGCAACACAATGTTTTGAGACATTAGATTCTGGAAATCAACATTATGAGTAACAAGCATGTTTATGTAGTAAATCTTTAGCTTTTTAATCATGCAAATAACAAGCATGTTTATGTAGTAAATCTTTAGCTTTTTAATCATGCAAATAACAAGCATGTTTATGTAGTAAATCTTTAGCTTTTTAATCATGCAAATAACAAGCATGTTTATGTAGTAAATCTTTAGCTTTTTAATCATGCAAATAACAAGCATGTTTATGTAGTAAATCTTTAGCTTTTTAATCATGCAAATAACAAGAATGTTTGTGTAGTAAATCTTTA